ATATTGAACATCGAAACGATGAGCAAAACTTGCACATAACCGTCCGTCGCTTAAGATTAACCTTTTTTTTTATTTATCCATTAGAATCTTGAATACGAAATAGGTTTGGCGAACCATACTGAATGGATATGATGAATAATAAAGAACGCCAACGATAACATGACCATAGAAAGGCGATGGCATTTTTTTCTCAGATGTTTTGCTGGAAAATTATGGAGCGCATCAGGGTCAATGTCAACGTGCATTCACCTAATGACGAAAGGCGTGTTCTTGAGTGGCAAGGGGAGATAGATTTTGGGAAGTTGTGCTTTTGTTTTCTGAAAAGTTTGAAAAAATTTCGAAGATTGCGCTGTTGTCAAGTATATTCCACAAACCTGTCCCACGCACCTCTGTGGCTTAGGGTGGGGTGTCGAGGGTGTTGAGCTGGGAAACTTCAACAGCTACGAAATAATCTACCGTTGGTACGAGTAAGTGTTAGAGATGCTCTTTAGAAGGGGTACGTCCATTTCCAAAAATTTTCCCGAAGTAACGAGGAGCCAAATGGCCCCCACACCTAGACTCTGATATCACGGGAAAAATCATTGTATAAGTGCGCTTTATGTGGTAACTATTTCTAGAAATTTTTAAGTTCTTTTCTAGAGGAATTTAGCCTGATACTTGGGTCCACGGACCATACGTCTGCGGACGTGGTGATCGTCTCTCTTACCACTACGTCACCTCTGCGGAAAGCTTGAAGTTGAAAGCAAAGAAATTTTTTCAGTGGTATGGTCAAGTTAGATCAGTCAAGTTGGTTAAACTAAATTGTACCAACCTCCCCTTCAAAAAGCGAGAAAGTGTCGGGTGCAGACCAAACACCACAACTGACGACGGCCTCCAAGTAAATCTGGTTAGAAGTTGTTCATAGTGATAGCTGATTTCTGGTAAATGATAGTTGTAATTAGTGACAATCGATAGAATACAACTGCAACAGGCTAATCATTTCATTGGCAGAAAACATTAACATTTTGTGAAGGCCGTCGTCACTTGTGGTGCATGGTCTGCACCCGACACTTTCTCGCTTTTTGAAGGGGAGGGTACTTCAACGTCAAGCCTTGAAACGGAAGACTTTTTTTCAAGCCTTTTTTCTTCTGAACCGCGACATTGCAATATTCAAGAACCCATAACTTCCTTCAAACTTCATAAAATGAGAAGCGGTAAAGACCGTTAGAATCTACGCGAAGAGTACTTTATTACTAGCGTTAACTTTTCATGGAATTCTTTCTTCTGCTTCAATTTCATAAGGGGTCTTTGAAATTCAATTCAGCAAGTTCGCTACATTTTGTTCCGCTTAGATTTGATTTAAAAGCATCAAAATTTTCTTGAAGTTTGTCTGCTTACGGCCGCTCACAGAGAAGGCGTTTTTATGGGAAAACGCCTGCTCGGGTATACGCCGTGCACCTGTCTGTGGGTGGAAGTCGCACTCGCATTTGAAGGTCCTCCACTTTCCCGAAGAAGGTGATAGTACATGATCGAATTGCATTGTATGTTTTGCGGTACCATTGTGTGTTTTATGGTTTGATGGTTGTTTTACTTTCCCATGAACTGCTCTACACAGTTGAATTTCAATCGATACGCTGGAAATTGGTGACTTGCTAAGTTTGGCACCTATACCACCTTTTTTCATAATTAAGCTAGGTCTAAATAGAAGTGTGCTGAAGACAGAAAGATTTTTTCACGATGTAGTAATTCATGCAGGGAGATCGGTACGAAACAGCCAAGCCTGAAATATGATTACTATTGAGTTTATGGTAACTTCGTGTCTTTTGGGACCATTCCTCCCAGCCTTTCACCCCCTGGTCCCTCTGTATGCGACCCCCCCTTTCGTTCGGCCAAATGCGACCCCCTCGTTGTTCTTTGCGCAACGTAGGGTTGACCCTGTTGTGATTTCGGGAACGAGGGTCGCCTGGGGTTGGGCGAGGTTATCATAGTGGGAACGGGTCCTTGAAAAAGGTTGTCATTTACATGGGTTTTTTGAAGGATTTGGTGAGTCTTTTAGGAACTAGCAAAGTAGCGTGAACCAGTTCACCCCC